TCGCTGTGAGTTCAAGGCCAACCTGTTCTACATAGACCACTGTCCCACCCAAAAAAGCAAAAGAAAACTGTGGAATTTAGGAGTTTGGAGATGACCTAGTGGGCAGTACACTCAGTGAACACAAGCGCCCCATCCTAGCGCTCATGGGTAAAGTCCAGAGAAGCAACACTGCCCTGTGACCCAGCACTGCGGGTGGTGGCAGTGGATCCTGGGGGCTCCTGGCCATCCAGCATAGCAGAAACAGTGGGCTCCAAGCTAAGGCCTGGCGGTGAGGCATGCTTGTCACAATAGCACTGGGGAGACTGAGGCAGGATCTCCAGGTCCAAGGCTAGCCCAGGCCAGTTGTCTCTTTCTGCTTCCATCCTTTCATGTTTGCCATGTGACTCTTGGGTGACGAGGGGATTTTAATCAACAGGATCTTAAATTCGAGCTAATTGAACTTTATGTTCCTCAGCCTTAGATGTTTTTTTACAGCAACAGAAAATGATAGGGTCCTTGCACTCTGCTGTCTTTCTACTTCTTTCTCATTAAGATGCCCAGGTTGAGCGGCCACATTGATGCCCACAGCTTCTAAGGGGTGGTTTCTTGCCGATTCAAATGTGAGGTAGTCTGGTCTCATTGCCTGTGCAAGGTCAGAACACATGACACATGACCCCAAAGCAGAGGTTTCTGAACATTCTTCCTCCACACACAAGTGGGAGCCTGTGACTCCCTGAGAGGAAAACACAATGAGGACAGAGCTCCCGGAGTGAGCTTTGTGTGGATCCACAAATGGACATTCGGCACCTGGGAGGCTTGACATAGCCTCTCCCTTGGTGGCCGTGGCTGCTTCTCCATCAGTCCCCACATTTCTCTGTGACTTCACTCATTGACAGAGGAGGCTGTGGTGATGGCGGCAGGTGGACATGTTTTGAGCACACCAGAAACAAAGACCCTCCCAGCCATGGACATCCTTAAACCCGTCCAGGCAACCTGGGGAAGAAATAAGGAAAAATGGGCACATCCCTGCTGACTGGAAATGAGACTAGGAAGGACGGACGGTGGGGAGGTACACAGAAGAAAGATGGAGAACCGAGAGCAACTGGAAGAGAAAATAGGAACAAGGGAGAAAGAGATGGGGGTGGGGTAGGCATGGTGGCCTACATCAGCCATCCCAGCACTTACGAGGTAAAGGCAGGAGGATCCAGAATTCAGGGTCAGCCTTGGCTACATACCATGTTCTAGGTCAACCTGGGCTACCTGAGACTATGTCTCAAACAAATGAAAACAAAACTACCAGAGACCAGGTAACTTGTAATAGACACTCAAGCCAAGGGTGGAGGCACAGATCTGTCATCTCAGTACTTGGAAGGCTCAGGCAGGAGGGTAACAAGGTAACAAGGCTAGCCTGGGTAACATAGCAAGACACTGTCCTAAGAAAAGAGAAACAACAAAAATACCCGGGGTGTGTGGCTCAGCTGTTAAGAGCACTTGTGTAGTATTCATGAAACTGCCTCTGTCCCCAGAGCCCCATAAGCTGAGTCTGGCCCTCAAAAGCCATCTTAGCACTCAGGGAAGAGGATGCAGAAGGGCCAGTTCCAAGTCTTCCTCTGCTATGTAGCGATTTGGAGGCCAGCCTGGGGTACATGAGACCCTGTCTTGAAAGAATAAAAATCTAACTGAATCCATACTTATTACAGATCTCTGTGACCCCAGTACTACAGTGGCTGAGGTAGTAGCCTGCTAGATGACAGGCATAAGCCACTGTGGCTGCACTTCTATCCCTTCAAAGCCCATTGCCCAGGGCCCAAACCCAGTGGACTTGACATCAGGGTTAATCTGGAGCAGGTTTCTTTCTTTTCCTTTTTATTTATTTTTTTATTTTGTTTTGTTTTTCAAGACAGGGTTTCTCTATGTAGCCCTGTCTGACCTGGAACTATCTCTGTAGACCAGGCTGGCCTTGAACTCACAGAAACCCACTTGCCTCTGCCTCCCAAGTGCTGGGATTAAAGGCAAGTGCCAACTCTTAGGGCCAATCTACTTTAGAGCAGTCTGACACCGAGTCACTCATTAGGCCTGCTGCTACCATTCCCCAGCGCTGGACTGCAAGGGTCCCCTAAGGAGGTTCCAGGGAGTCTAGCTCAGGCTCTCATGCTAGCTAGTACAATGCACACTTCCCAACAGAGCCATCCCTCTGTCTAAGCTGTTTGCCTTGGGCATTTTGTCACAGAAAGGGAGGGCTGTCTCACTGCATGGGCTCTGGTGTCCTGAAGGTTTTGGACGATCGAGGGATAAACATCTGCCTTCTACATGCTGCTGAGTTCATTACCACAGAGACTCATCTCTGAGGAGGGAATGCCAGGAGTCAAACCTGCAGGGGCCAAGAAGATGGCTCACGAAGTGAGGTGCTTGTTGTCCAAGCATGAGGGCCTTGAGTTCAAATCCCTGGCAACCCTGTAAAAAGGTGGGCCTGGAGATTAGTGTCTCTGACCCAACCAGTGGTGCAGAGACGGGTATGCTCGGGGCCTTGGTGGCAGACAGTCTAACTGAATGGAGAATGAGGGACTCTATCTCAGACACTGCAGTGGAGAGCCCCAGGGCAAGGGACCTGACTTCCAGCCTACACACACACACACAGACACACACACACACACAGACACACACACACACACACACACACACACACACACACACACACACACACACACCAGATGACAAAATCACCACACAAGGAGCCAAGGCAACCAATATGCCAATTCTCCAGAGGATGAGCACACATGGCTTGCCAGAATTTGAACCTACAGCTGTCTTCCACACTGGGCAGGCGGGTGGTATTTGCACCTGGAAAGAATGAGGCCCCAAGGCTGTGCTGTGCCTGACTACAACTTATTTGAGAGGTTTCCATGTTGCTCCCGGGAAGGTGTTTTGGGGTCCAGTTCTTCACACCTCTGAAGCATTTTCTTTCTAATACAAAGTCCTAGGGGAGGAAGAGCCTGTTGCAGCCCAGCCACACTGCCACTCCTCTCATGCCCAGAAGGTCTGTCAGCTCCATGTCTCTATCCTGGGCCTCCTGCTGTGGAAGCTGAGGCAGGACCAACAGAGCAGCAGGTGGTCTGGCTTCTTCCACTTGGGAGGGGTCTCCCTGGGCCGAGGAGTCAATCACTGAGATGAGGTCTACCTGTGTGGGGCTGGAGAGGAGGGACCTGGGTTAGTCTGTGAGGTCCCTGGTAGGGCAGTGGATGGCTTGGAGGGAATATGCATCCACCAAGAGTCCCTGAGAGTTACAGGGACACCCTGCTAGGACAGCCACATGAACCACGCATGCAGTTAAAGTTTAGTGTTGGGCTAGGGAGATGGCTTAGTGGATAAGAGTATTGCACAGGCATCAGGACCTGAATTTGAACCCCCAGAACCCAGCAGTGTAGGCCATCAACCTAGTTCAGGTTCAGTCTCAAGGGGATAGTATCAGAGAACGAGCAGGGCACCTGACGCCCTCCTCTGGCCAGCATCTCTCTCTCATACACTTTTACGAATACTGACATCAGTTAGGCTGTTAGACTTTTAGGCTGAACCTTCCAAAGTGAAGGGATTCATGCCTGCATGTAGATGGGCACAGGCCACCCGTGTCTGGCTGCTGTGCTGTAATTCTCGGGGGGGGGGTACACGTCCACCACACAGCTGGGGCTGCACCCTGCAGCCTGTGCCCTGTGCTGCCTAGAGGCACTGTGCACTGGCTGGAAAGCAAATTGAAGGGCTGAGAAGCTGTGGGCCAACCATGCAGCCTGAGCCCCAAGCCTCATGCTAACCTTACTTGGAAACTGGGGCTGTTAGAGCACTAAAACGAGAAGCATGGGGTGAGCTCTAATCCAATCTGACCAGTGTCCTTAAGAAAAGGTGAAAGGGCTGAGGAGATGAGGTGGCTCGGAGGGTAAAGTGCTGTCTCTCTTGCTGGGCGTTGGTGGCGCACGCCTTTAATCCCAGCACTCAGGAGGCAGAGGCAGGAGGATCTCTGTGAGTTGGAGACCAGCCTGGTCTACAAGAGCTAGTTCCAGGACAGCCTCCAAAGCCACAGAGAAACATGAGGGCCTGAGTTCAAATCCCAGCACCTGTGTAAAGAAAGGAGGGAGCTGGGAAGAGGGGAGAAAGGGACGGGACAGGTGAGGCAGTGGAGGGAGAGGGGAGGGAGAGAAGGGTAAGGAAAGGATCTAGCTACCTGTAGTGCACACTTATATCCCAGCACAATGGCTCTCTGGCCAGCCTAGCCTACTTGGAAAATTCCAGGCCAATGAGAGACCCTATCTCAAAATACACTCATACACACAGCCCTGTCTATGCATGGGGCTGGAGCTGGGCTGGTGGCCAGCTGTGGTGACCCTTCCTGGGAGGTCTGCTCCTCAGGCCACACAGGCGGGCTGGCTAGTCTCATGACAGGGTGACAGCTGACTGAGAGTGACTATGGGTGCTGTGCCTGTGCTCAGCTCCCCCCCCCCACTCCCCCATGCTCCCTGTGTATGGAGAGGGGAGAGTGTGGATCGCAGGTGTAGTGAGTCAGAATTTCTAGAGCCCAGACCTCTGAACAAAAGCCATGGAAAGTAGGGACCAAAGGGATTCATGCCTGCATGCAGACGGGCACAGGCCATCAGTGGGCACCACACAGATGTGAAGCCCTAAGTTTAGGTCTTTAGACCCAGCAGTGCTCCTTGAGATGGGAGATGGAAGTGGGGCCAGGAAAATCCAGAAGGTGATGGGCTACTGAGACTGGAGGACTTGGCGTATTGGAGGCAACAAGCAAGGTGACACCCAAGATTGCTCTCTGACCACGGCACTCATGTACACATTGTACCAAGATCAAATAAACAGATAAGTGGGGATCCATGAGAAAGGCTGGTCCTGGCCGGGAAGACTGTATCATAAGGACAGAAAGGGCAGGGCACATTGCCATCACCCGTCACTACCCAGCCCAGCAAAGGCAGGCTATCTGGTCTCACCGTGAGGACATAGAGGAAGCCCTGCCACAGCAGTCACAAGTACATGGAATCGATTTGAGTTTTGTATTTCTGGCTTATGATGCATCTCCGGAGTTTTGATGTCTGCCCTGTGGAGAAAGGACGGCACTTGTCATGGGCAACCGGGGATAGGGTCCCAGGGCTGGCCTGGTGTCTGCTCCTGCTGTCAGTGAGAGGGCATTATGAGATGTCCACTTAGACTCATGGTAGTGAGTGTTCTGCCCATAATAAAGTTTTTTTTTTCTTCAAGATTTATTTTTAATGATGTGCCTATATGTGGAGCCTGTGTGTGCATTGGTGTATGCATTAGGGTACATTGTGTAAAGAGGCCAAAATTGGGTATCCGATCCCCTGTAGCTGGAATTACAGATGACTGTGAGATTCCCGACTTAGTTGGGATCTGAATTCGGTCCTGAGTTTGGGGTGGGGTAGGGGGTGAGGGAGAGAAAGTGCTCTAACCATTGAGCTGCCTCTCCAGCCCAGTGAGGAGTTCTGGTGTTAGCTCCAGAGCACGAATGTGTCTGTCCTAAGGAAGAGGCAGCACAGGGAGGCCAGTCAGGAGCTCAATGCAGTTGGTAAGGGTGGCAATGTCCCAGATCCTAGCTGGTCTTACAGACCTAATTCCACAGAGAAGGGTACGGACCAGAGTCACCCTCCAAAGCCAGGAAACTCACCTAGCTCTCCACCGTAGATAGAAAAGTCTTTGTCTAAGATGAGCCACTTCCGAATTCTCTGCCCATCAGAGGCCGCTTCCTGATTCACCATGTCTATGCCACACTGGATGGCTGTGTAGACCATAGGGTCTCGCTGCTTCACTATGTCCGACACGGTGACTGCCTTGCTACCCAGCGCCCGGCAGAAGTTCACGGCTTCCAAGCTCAGCTTGTCCAGGGGCTCTCCGCTCATCTGGTCTGTCTCACTCTGCCCCAGGACAACCTGTCACCATGCATGTTCCCCAGTCATCCCCAACCCCAACCCAGACCAAAAAGCAGAGCCTGCAGCCACTCCGCCCCCCCTCCCCCCAGCCTGAGCCCCAGCCACCTGCAGCCCCCACCACTGCAACATGGCGTTGCTGATAATGGGGATCCTCTCCTTCACCAGGGACTCGATGGGGACGGGGGACACGTTCTCACCGCCAGCAGTGATCAGGAACTCTGGAACGAGAGCCCAGCTTGGAACAGGGCCCCACCCACCTGGGACCAGGGCAAAGGTTGCTGTGGCTTCGTTTTGGGCACTCCAAGTCCCCATCCACTCCCGCTTCTCTCCCAACATCTAAGTTCTCAGAACCTCACACGGACAGAATCTGTCCTGTTGGTTTTTGTCAACTTGTCAAGCCAGGGTCTCCTGGGAAGACGGACATGAACCAGAATATGTCTCTATCTGATTGGCCTGTGGGTCATTTTCTCAATCAGTGATCAAAGGGGGAGGGCCCAGCCCACTGTGAGTAAGGCCATCCCTAGGCTGGTTGTCCTGGGTTCTATAGGAAAACAAGCTGAACAAGCCAATCAGCAGTATTCTCCATGGTCTCCGCATCAGCTCCTGCCTCCAGATTCCTGCCCTGACTTCCTGTCTTGACTCCCTGGATGATGGAGTATGGCCTGAGTTGTGAGCTGAATAAACCCTTCCCTCCTTAAGGTGCTTCTGATTTGGGTGTTCATCGTGGGGACAGAGCTCATTGGAATTTTTTGTAAGGTTGTTTTGACCTCACTGTGCAGCCTGGGATAGCACCAGGCTGCGATTCTCCTGTCCCAGCCTCCCAAGGGCTGTGATGACAGGGCTGCCCTACAGTCTCTCTGAAGCTTCTCTGAAACTTCTTGGCCTCTCCTGGCTGACTCTTCTACTGCTCAGCAAAGCCAGCTGCAGTCTCACTCCAGGGGCACAGGTCTCAAGTCTAGAGCAACTTGCTCCCAGTACGATAGGGGCGGATCCTGATGATCTGGGAATGCTGCTTTCCTTCGTGCCCCTAGTATCTGACACCCTAACACCCCCCATGCCACTGCCTATACCCCTGGCAGCCTGGACACCCCCAAATTCCTGCCAGTTCCCCTACCTAATACACCTAGTACTCTTTGCCCTAAATGTGCCTGGTACCTTTGATTCGGCCGGTGATATATAGGAAATCTTGGTTGTCCATGCGACCCAAGTCCCCAGAGTGCAGCCAGCCGTCATCATCCAGCACTTCCAGCGTAGCGTCCTCCATGTCCAGGTAGCCCATGAAGACGTGCCGGCCCCAGATGCAGATTTCACCCACACCGTCTTTGTTCTGCTGGTACAGCATGTTCTGGCAGCCATTCAAGATCCTGCCACAGCTGTGGGGACATGATCGGGGAAAGCCTGTCAGAGACAGGGTGGTGTGGACCCCAGTCTGGGTCCTCCGGTGCCAGCAGCCTAGAGTCCTGATGTTCCTAGGCTGTCCCAGCTGAACTCAGGCTCCTCTCTCCCAGCGCTCAGGTTCTCCATGTTCACTGCATCTGAAAACCCCACAAGACTGGAAGTTGTTTCTACATCCACTTATGTGGAGAAAAGAAACCCCTGGAGACTCTAGGATGGCAATGAGCCACTTCCCCTATGAGAACACTGGGGACAACAGCCATGTGACAGCCAGGACAGCGGCATAAAATGTTACAAGTTGGAATCTCCTCAGAGAGGGAATATGTGGGGAGCCGCTTTCAAACTTATGAGGAGAGGCATGGAAGGGAAACTGAGGCAGCATTTTGCATCCACTGGCTCATAGAAATGCACTGTGTGCACTGTGCCATATGCTGCCATCCTCGTGCTAGGAGGCGGACACAGGAGGCTCCTCCTCAGTCCAGCTAACAGAGCAACTAGTGTCCTGGTAAAACGGCATGATGTGGTCATGGGTGGGCTGAGGTAGACCTTGAGGGTGTGTCTGCAGTCCAAGGACACCATCAGTTCCTAGTCATTCCTGCTCCTCCATTCCTTTCTTCTCCTGCTTTGCTTTTATCATTGTTATTGTTATTTTGGTCCCTCAGTTGCATTCTGTATGCTAGCAAACCTCATGCAAAAGCAGAAAGCCAGACCTACAATACGGTGGCGTGAGCAGGGTCAGGAGACTAACCGAAGGATTTTGGAAGAGGTCAGCCTCCATGGTAGAGGGGCCCCTCAGTGTACAGGTGTCAGGACCACTGTGGCTCAACCCTCTGACCTGGTGAGCTAAGCTGTGCAGAAGCCACAGAAGAACAATAGAGATGCCTGAGCTGGAGAACAATGGGGTCCTGAGGTCACAGAACACTTAAGTGACACTGGGAGGGAAACTGTGTCAGGCAGCAATCTCTTGCCAGGGACTGTAACATGGCCTCCTATAAGGAGGCTTATTTATTTTATTTATTTATTTGTTTGTTTTTTGTTTTTTGTTTGTTTGTTGTTTGGTTTTTTGAGACAGGGTTTCTCTGTGTAGCTTTGGAGGCTGTCCTGGAACAATCTCTTGTAGACCAGGCTGGTCTCCAACTCACAGAGATCCACCTGCCTCTGCCTCTGCCTCTGCCTCCCAAGTGCTGGGTCTAAAGGTGTGCACCACCCCTGCCCTGCACAGAAGGAGGCTTCTTAAAACGCAGGAAGTAATGGAAACTCACAAGTCTTGAGAAGGTCCTGAAACTTATAAGGCCTCAGAGCCCAGCCCCAGGTTCCATAAACAGTAACAGTCCTGGGGAAGATGCTCGGAGCTGCCTGTCAAATGTTCAGGAGCTTTGGATGCAGCTTTCCTGAGGTGTGGCCCAGGCTGCCATGGATTTGTAGGTGATGTGTTCCCTTTGAGTCTACACACATTCCTGTCAGTGACCTGTGACCCACAGTCTATAAATCACCCCCATAAGTGTGTAAGTACACTGGATAGGAAGTGTTTCTTTGGTATTTTTGGTGCTCTGTCTGGTGTAAACACACATTCATTCAGGTTTCCCCAGGAAAAGTCACACATGATAGATGGCTCCAGAACAAGTGCCCTTCCCAGAAGGTTGTGTGATAAGCCAGAGGCCCTAGGCTGGGAGGCTGGAGAATGGGACCCTCAGGCTCAGGATGTGTCTTAGCCAGCAGTCACCACCTCCTCTATGCCTCATGCCATGACACTGGGGGTCCTGGAGGCTGCAGCAGACTGGTACCTCAAAATCTTGTAGCTGTTATTGGAGGAGACTGAGTGTGGTCCAGAGCACTCACTCAACCCGTAGATCTCACCAATGGGGATGTCCAAACTGAGGAAGAACTCTAAGATGTCCTGGGAGAGGGGCGCAGTCCCACTGAAGAAGGAGTGGCAGTTGTCCAGGCCCAGGGAGTTTCTGATCTTTGTGAACACAAGAGCCTTGGCCATGCGGTAGTTCATGGGGACGTCTTGCTTCCTAAGAATGACATCATCAAGGAGACCTGGCTTCAGAGGGCAGAGCCTCCTCTGTGTTCCCTCACACCCACTACAGGACACTGTGCCTACCCCAGCATCCGCTTGGTGTTGACTTTCAAGCCGAGCATCTTCGCCCATGTGAACACCTTCTTCCTCAGACCGGAGGACTTGTATATATTTTCCTTGATGTTCTCCTGCATCTTTTCCCAGACACGAGGCACCCCCAGGAAAATAGTAGGCTTCACCTCCTGAAGGGTGTACACCAAGGTGCCCTGTGCAGGACAGAGTGGGTGAGGCACCGAAGTACCTTCAGGAGCCACACATGTCCCCCAGAGCAGCCTTTGGATCAGGCATAGGGATCAACCCCCTGCTTCACAGCAGCCAATCAGATTCAGATTCATCCAACCCTACCTCCATGTATGCATGTTTGCTCGTGCACAAGTGTATGGGTGTGCAAGTGTGTGCATGTGTTCATGAATGTGTGTGCACATGTGTGCTTGTGTATGTGTGTGTGTGTGTGCGCGCATGTGCTCGCACATGTGTGTGTAACAGCATACAGACCGGTCCACAGACAAGATTTTACATTATGATCATTCGTTTTCAGCACGTGTCTCCTGAGTAGTTCCCTGCAACCGGGAAAGGATGTTCATATACGAAAGCAAACAGTCACGCTTGGCTTACAATCCTACTTCTCTGCCAACATGAGAATCAACAAAGAGCTAACAGTAAAGAGTGTACAGAGGAAAACCAGAAAAGCTTTGTGGTAGCCATCGAGGGGGAAAGCAATAAAATGAACCTTATCAAAGCCAAGTTTCCTCCACACTTCAAAAGACCACAAAGGGAAAAACAAAAGAACTAGAAGGCACTTGCAAATCATGGTATCTGGTAAGGCTTCCTTACCTGAATACATAAAGAACCCTTAAGAATCAACATGCTTAGATATACAAAGAAAATCTTAAATGCAAAAGATGTAAACAGAAATTAAATCCAAGTAGTCCTCAGTGTCCCTTCACAAAGGAGCAGGCCCCCCAGTGATACCAGCTGAACATGACAGAACAGGATGCAGAGGGGAGGCTGTGGTCAGGATGAATTGTCTGAGAGAAGAATAAATAAAAAGGAAAAAGGGAGTGGGGGAAATGCATAGCTCAATAAAAAAGATAAAGAAAAGGAAAAAGACAAAACATCTGAAAGAAAAGAAGAAAAGACATGAAATCCAAGAGCCAGTGAGCCCATGAGAAGTTGCTCAGCATCATTAATGATGAAGAAAATGTCATTGAGGACGGTAACTTGCCACTTAACACCTTTGATAAAAATGTGTAAAAGGGGAAAACTTTCCAGAGCCTGGGTCAGTGGGAGCACACAACACACGCAAAGGTCTGGGCACACAGCTCTTGGGCTGAGCGCATTCCATCCCATTCTACGAACAAAACACCCAAGATCAACACACACATACACGCGCGCGCGCGCGCACACACACACACACACACACACACACACACACACAAACACACGGAGGGCAGAGGAGGAAGGTCGGTCTCCTAGGCCACTCTGCCTAATCCCTTGAGACGGAATCGATCACAGCACCTGAAGCTAGGTTGCCAAGCAATTCCCAGAGACCTCCCGCTTTGCCCCGAAGCATAGGGGTTATGGGTATATGAAGGTAGCCATGCCCAACTTTTTATATGAGTGCTGGGGATTTGAACTCAGGTCCTAATGGTTGTACAGCAAGTGGTCTTACCAGCTGAGCTGTCTCTGCAACATCAGCTCTAATATTTGTGGTATACAATGCACCTGGGGCCTACGGGAGGGAACACATCCCACCAGAAAGCATCCATCATGTTGAAAACCTCAGAGCCCTGGTTATCTGGACTACTCCTGGCCACGAATGACTTTTTTTTCCTTTCACTTTCTTTACAGCATTCTTGTTGAGGTCAGACGACAACTAGAAGGAATTGGTTCTCTTCCACCTTGTAGGGACGGAGGATGAAACTCAGGTCTTCAGGCTCCATGTCAGGCAGAGTGTGGCTCTGTGTCTGTGTCTGTCTGTGTGTGACTCTGTGTGTGTCTCTGTGTCTGTGTCTGTGTGTGTCTCTGTGTCTGTGTCTGTATGTGGCTCTGTGTCTGTGTCTGTGTCTGTGTGTGACTCTGTGTCTATGTGTGTATGTGGCTCTGTGTCTGTCTCTGTGTGTGTCTCTGGGTCTGTGTCTGTCTCTGTGTCTGTGTCTGTGTCTGTCTCTGGGTCTGTGTGTGGCTCTGTGTCTGTGTCTGGGTGTGACTCTGTGTCTGTGTCTGGGTGTGACTCTGTGTCTGTGTCTGGGTGTGACTCTGTGTCTGTGTCTGGGTGTGACTCTGTGTCTGTGTCTGGGTGTGACTCTGTGTCTGTGTCTGGGTGTGACTCTGTGTCTGTGTCTGGGTGTGACTCTGTGTCTGTGTCTGGGTGTGACTCTGTGTCTGTGTCTGGGTGTGACTCTGTGTCTGTGTCTGGGTGTGACTCTGTGTCTGTGTCTGGGTGTGACTCTGTGTCTGTGTCTGGGTGTGACTCTGTGTCTGTGTCTGGGTGTGACTCTGTGTCTGTGTGTGGCTCTGTGTCTGTGTCTGTGTCTGTGTGTGTCTCTGTGTCTGTGTCTGTGTGTGACTCTGTGTCTGTGTGTGACTCTGTCTCTGTGTCTGTGTCTGTATGTGTCTCTGTGTCTGTGTCTGTGTGTGACTCTGTGTCTGTGTCTGTGTCTGTTTCTGTGTGTGGCTCTGTCTGTGAATCCTCATACTTCACTGTTTCCATTGAGTTTCCCCTTTAACCTGACCCTCATGTCTTTCTTTCCTCAACACTCACTGTAAATTTAAACTCTAATACAAATCCAGAAAGTAACAATAAATTAAGAACCTTGAGAAGCCAGATGTTCAGCTCGGTGTCCTGACCGGGTCCATGTGGGAGGGAGACAGTAGCATCAGCAGGGGACTCAGGCCTGCGTGTGTGCTGTGCGACTGCCTGCAGGTCTATGTGTGGCATCTATGTGTGTTTATGTGTTCATATGCTTATATCTATATGCTTGCATTTATGTGTTTGTCACAGTGTGTAAATGTGCATTTCTGTGTTTATTTGTATGTTTGCATGTCTATGTTTATGTTTGTATACATTTTTGGCTAGTGTTTTGTCAACACAAACTAGAGTCATTTGGGAAGACTCCCAATTTAGAAAATTCCTCCACCAGATTGGCCTGTGGGGCATTTCCTTAATTAGTGATCAATGTGGGAGGAACCAGTCCATTGTGAATGCGGCCATCCCTGGGCTGGTGGTTCTGGATTCTATAACAAAAAAATTGTTGGGAGAAAAGGGTTTATTTGGCTTACACTTCCACATCATAGTCTATCACTGAAGGAAGTCAGGATAGGATCTCACACAGGGAAGGAACCTGGAGGCAGGAGCTGATGGAGAGGCCATGGAGGGTATTGCTTACTGGCTTGCTCTTCATAGCTTGCTCAGCCTGCTTTCTTTCTTTCTTTTTTCTTTTTGTTTTGTTTTTTATTTTATTTTATTTTTTGGTTTTCAAGACAGGGTTTCTCTGTAGCTTTGGAGTCTATCCTAGAACTCTCAATCTGTAGACCAGGCTGGTCTCAAACTCACAGAGCTCCGCCTGCCTCAGCCTCTGGAGTGCTGGGATTAAAGGTGTGTGCCACCAACACCCAGCCCCCAACTTGTTTTTGCTCAAGGTATTTTATCACAATAATGGAAATCTTACCTGAGACAGTGTAATCACATAAATATGTGTCTATGTATGTGACTGTTTATGGTGTGTCCATGTATGTTTGTTTGAGTGTGTGAACTGTGTTGATATGTGTTTTCCTGTGTTCACAAGCACATGTATATATCCATGATGTTTGTGTTTATATGCTTTGTGTTAGGGGTAGAATTGCAGATAATGAGCAACTGGCTTTAAAGACAGAGCAAGACGGGGCTGTGGGCAGGTTCAGGGTTAGAGCACTTGATGCTCCTTCAGGGCACACAGGTTCAGTTCCTAGCACCCACATGGAGACTCTTAAACTGCCTGGAACTTAAGCTCCAGGGACCCAATGCCCTCTTAGCTACTAAGAACACCAAGTACGCAATGGGGTACATACATGCATGCAGTAAACTCCCATAAACACATACATAGCTGGGCATTGGTGGTGCATGCCTTTAATCCCAGCACTTGGGAGGCAGAGGCAGAGGCAGAGGCAGAGGCAGAGGCAGGCGGATGTCTAGAGGCAGAGGCAGAGGCAGAGGCAGAGGCAGAGGCAGAGGCAGAGGCAGAGGCAGAGGCAGAGGCAGAGGCAGAGGCAGAGGCAGAGGCAGAGGCAGAGGCAGAGGCAGAGGCAGAGGCAGAGGCCCCCCAAAAAACACATACACAATAATATGTCTTAGAAGGTGGAGGAAGAGGCCACAAGCCTAGGCAGCATTTCTTCTAGAAACTGGAGAAGGCAGGAAAACAGGTCTCCCCAAATTCTGTGTGACAACCCAGCTCTTGTGACACCTCCACCTTCACCATGTGACAGCCCAGTTTGAACCTCTAGCCCAGCACTCATGAGGACACGTGTGCTGTGATAACCAGCTTCTCTTGTTGTCACTAGCTGTGGCAGCTGGGAATGATGGGGACTCAGACTCCTCATCTGATTTTGTGAAGTTTGCAAAGTCTGGACATAAAGGAAACGGACATCTCTTTTCCATTGCTATTCTTAAAAACCCACCAAAGGGTCAGAAGCCAAGAAGGGCCCGAGGAGCAGCGTGCACAGGCACTGCTCCCATCCGACCCTGGTCCTCATGGGCCACAGCATCTTTTATCCCACAGAAGGGCAATACTGGGCATCTGGGCTTGCCCACAAGCACACAAATGTGCTGAGCTTGTGACCAGTGTCCACCTTGCATGTAGACACAAAGGTCCCATGCCCTTGTAGTCATGTGCAGCACCTGGGGCCCTACACGTGCTCAGAGCTCCGCAGGGGCTGGTCTGAACCGCTCAACCTTCTTTTCTTAGCTCAGTCCTCTCTGCTGTCCCTTGAGTGTCTCACTTCCATGCAATTTTTACCTGACTGCAGTAAGTTACAAACCCATCTCAGGTTTTGCTTCCAGTTATCCCACCCTAGGACAAACAAAATGATAAGCAGCCCCGTATAGGGTGGAACGTGACAGGAAGAAAAATTGACAGGCAAAAAGGTCACCTGACTGGAAAACAGGCTACTGATAACTATAGAAAATCAAAGTCACTGCAGACAGGGCTGGGTCCTTGTAGTCAGTCTTTTGGTGCAGTAACAAGAGCCCAAGATGCAGAAGGGGAAGAGCGTGGAGACAAGGGACAAGTCGAATCCTCCTCTAACACACCGGAAAACAATAGCTTGTGAATCAAGAAACAGTAACATTGTATACTCCAAAACACTAGAATTGAATACAAAAGAAATCAACTCAATATCTCAACTAAGTCTCATTTAAGGGGTAAGGTGCAACGCAGGTGAGGCTTTTAACTTTTAGGTTTATTTTATTTTATATGTGTGAGTGGTTTTGCCTGTATGTGTGTATGTGCTCCACATACATGCCTGGCCCCATGGAAGGCATTGGATCCCCTGGAATTGGAGTTACAGATGGTGTGAGCTGCCATTGGGTGCTGGGAATTGAACCCTGGTCCTCTGCAGGAGCAGCTGGTGTGTCTTAGGCCAGAATCTTCTGCCCAGACTTGAGCCTAGGGGTTGGGGATTCACATGAGCCCGTATGTGCACGTACACACACGTGTGAGCACACATTTTGTTTTGTTTTTCTTTTCTTTCCTATTCTTTTTTTTTTTTGGTTTTTCGAGACGGGGTTTCTCTGTCTAGCTTTGGATTGTTTTGTTTTTCCAGACAGGGTTTCTCTGTGTAGCTTTGGAGCCTATCCTGGTACTTGCTCTATAGACCATGCTGGCCTGGAACTCACAGAACTCACTTGCCTCTGCCTCCTGAGTGCTGGGATTAAAGGTGTGCGCCACCAACAACCAGCTGAGCACACATTTTTTTTTTTTAAGGTGGGAAATTAACAAGATGGCTCAGTGGGTAAAGGCACTAGCCACCAAGCCTGATGACCTGAGTTTGTCCCCAGAATCACAGGGTAGAAACAAGAACGAACCATGGACCCTAAATTGTCCTCTGACCAGCATGTGCCAAGCACGGTGCATACCCCTAATAAATCAATAATGCAAGAAATACTGAAGACAATACAGACTTTCAATGCCACTCAGGTCTCTACTGAACTTGTTTAGGACACAGTCTATACAATCGCACCGCACATCAAGATAAAACTAAGAGAATTTACTCAGCTGTTTTCAATGCGGTGGATGGAACAGAAAATGAAGACAGGAGGGGAAAAAAAAAACTTAGACTTCTGGCTGGTCCAGTGGACAGATGATGTGAGCACCCCTGAAGGCCACGAGATACTTGGTGGGGCCCAGCCTTACCCTGAGTGCATCTGGTTGAGCGAAGAAAGTGATCCCCCCGACCTTGATGGGGATCCAGATGTCCATCATCTGGGCCGAAATGTGGCTGAGGGGCAGGTAGCTGACTATTGAGTTCTGGTGCCCTGAGGTGTGGTGGCTCAGTTCCAGCTCCCGGGCCATGGCCCCTGAGGTCCAGGTGATCTAGAAAACAAGGTTAATCCAGAGTACCGCTGTGCCCACGTGAGCATGTGGCCTATGTGAGGGCCTGAGATAGAGGTCAGTTTTCTTCCTCACCTGCTCCCCACCTCACTGTTTTGAAATTTTATCTACTGGGGCTGGAGAGGCAGCTCAGTGGCTTGCTGCTCCTGCAGAGGGAGGGCCCTTTCAGCTCTCCACAGCCAGCTCCAGGGGATCACCTCTTCTGGCCTCTGAGGGTACCCACAGACACCTGCTGTCTGTTTGTCTGTCTCTCTCACACACATCTTTCTTTCTTTCTTTCTTTCTTTCTTTCTTTCTTTCTTTCTAAAGATTTATTTATTATGTGTACAGCATTCTCCCAGAAGAGGGCACCAGATCTCATTACACATGGTTGTGAGCCACCATGTGGTTGGTGGGAATTGAACCCAGGACCTCTGGAAGAACAGACAGTGCTCTTAACCTCTGAGCCATCTCTCCAGTCCACACACACACATTTTCTTAAGATATGTACTTCCCAGCCAGGCGTTGGTGGCACATGCCTTTCATCCCAGCACTTGGGAGGCAGATGCAGGCAGATCTCTGAGTGTGCACGCCCTTTGGGGCAGGCTCTCCTCTTGAACCAGGTGCTGGTGCTTTGCAGCCAGGCTAGAAAAGCAGCAGCAAGCCTGGAAACCCTCGTACCTCTGCCCCACTCACAGCTGGAGTGCCAGGGTCATGTGGCACCCAGATGGCTATGTGAGTACTGGGCTCCAAACTCCACCCCTAACCACTGCACCATCTTTCCAGCCCCCTCTTGTCTTTTTTTTTTTTTTTGATACAGGTCTCTTGCCGGATTCCAGCTCAACAGTTTGAGTAGCCTGCCTGGACAGTGAGCCCCCAGGGTCTTCCTGTCTTCCCCCCCACCTCACTGGGATTCCAAAGGATTCCTACGTGGCCCAGATTTTTAAGTGAACTCGGGATCCCATGCTCGTATGGAGAGTGCTGAAGTAAAGCCACTCCCAGACTACTGCCCAAACCTTTCCCATTTGTGACACACTACTATCATCATGCTAGTGGATACAGAAGGATCCCTGGGACTTGGTGGCTGGCCAGCCTAGCTACAGGTGAGCAGCAGGTTCAGTGAGAGGCCCTGTCCCCAAAAGAAGGTGGGGAGTTACTTGGGAAGACATGCTCCAATGCATACAAACAGAATCCCAAGTGTGTAGAACCACCGCAGCAAGCAGGAGGAATGAGGCTGGGGATACTGCTTTGTGATGGTTCATCTAGAATATGGACCTGTAGAGGCTGGGAATGGCTCTGCTAAGCTCTTTTCACACAAGAGTGGAGATTGGGGTTCAGATCTGCAGAACCCAGACATCACATGAGTGGTGCCCTAGTTAGGGTCACCAGTGCTGTGATGAGGCCCCATGACCAAAGCAATGTGGAGAGGAAAGGGTTCCTTTAGCTTACACTTGCAGGTAATAGTCCATCACTGAAGGAAGTTGAGACAGGAACTCACACAGGGCAGGAACCTGGAGGCAGGAGCTGATACAGAGGCCATGGAGAGTGCTTACCGGCTTGCTCCCATGGTTTGCTCAGCCAGCTCATCCCAGGACCACCAGCCCAGGGATGGCACTGCTCACAATGGTGGGCCCTCCTCGTTGATCACTGTTTTGGAATATTATTTTAACTGGGCAAGGATGTGTTATAGCTGTTTATGCTACAAATTATTACTTTAACTGTGTAAAGGTGTGCTACATTTGTTTAAACTGCATTTATTTAACAATGTAAGGATGTGTGTTTAATTGTGTAAAGATATGTTGCATGTTTCACCTTGCCAGCCTAAGGCACCCGATTGGTCTAATAAAGAGCTGAACGGCCAACGGCTGGTCAGAGAAAGGATAGGTGGGGCTGTCAAGCAGAGAGAATAAATAGGAGGAGAGATCTAGGCTGGAGAAAAAGGACAAACAAAAAGAAGGAGGATCATGAGAGAGTGAGGGAGCCCCCAGCCAGCAGACACAGAGTAAGACAGAAAGAAGGTAAGGAGCACTGAGACAAAGGTTGATAAGGAGAAACAGGTTAATTTAAGTTAAAAGAGCTAGCCAGAAAAGGCCCAGCATTCATAACTAATATTAAGTCTCTGTGCTGTGATTTGGGAGCTGGTTGGTGGCCCCAAAGGGAAAGTCTGATACAGATCACTAATTAAGAAAATGCCCCACAGGCTTAGGGAGGCATTTTTCTGAATGGAGGCTCCCTCCTCTCAGATACTCTGGCTCTGTCAGGTTAACATCAAATTGGCCAGCACAAATGTCACCTGTGATCTCTGCCACGTGAAAAGTGGAGACAAAGGGACCCGGAACGAGCTGAACCTATGATCCTGGATCCCGATGGGAGGCCTGACTCAATGTGTGGGACAGAGAGCGATTGAGGAAGACACAGTGACAAGCGTTGGCTTCCACAGATGCTCACACACAAGCATTCTCGCAAGCATGTCATCATCCCCACACTCAGGAGGCAGAGGCAGAAGGATCAGGAGTTCAGGGGCATCCTCAGCTACCCGGCAAGTTTGAGGTCAGCTTGGGCTACATGACACTGTCCCCCAAAATAAAAACAAAATAAAACAAACCCATCAGGCCAGTGAAATGTCTTGGTGGGTAAAGTGTCTGTCCTGCCTGCATGAGGACCCAGAAGCAATGTGGTGGTGCTCACCAATAATCCCAGCCCCAGAGAGGTAGGGCAGGAGGGGCCATGGCCATCCGGCCTGGCCTGATCACTGAGAGACCCTGTCTCAAAAAATCCAAGATAGATGAACCTGAGGGACCACAGCTGAGGTCAGGTTCTTCCCCCACAACATACAGAGTCTCATACTCAGACACACACTCACACAGAAACAGAGACACACTCCCAGAGACACACACTTGAATTTTTTAAAAACCACCCACCAGATAGAAACTGTAACACCAACTCCCATTTCACAGACAAGGAAACTGAGGCATGGCACCATCAGTTTTCTTGCCCAAGAACACCCAGCCTGGCTTTGGACCCAGGTCTACTTCCAAGCCTCCAGTTCTACCAGCTGCCCAGTTCCCCATGAGAGAAGACCCATACAGACCTCACCCACCCCTCCATGTTGCTCTGTTTTGCCCAGGGACGAGCATGCTGGCTGGGCAGGGGGTGGTGGCTTACGTTGTCATGGCTCAGCATCACCCCTTTGGGTTCCCCTGTGGTGCCCGAGGTGTAGATGAGGACTGCGCACTGGTTGGGGTTCTGGCTCAAGATGATACGATCCAGCTGCATGTTGGTGATGGCATTACCCAGCTCCATGAAGTCATGCCACTGTGGACAGGAAGGTGGGGAACTAGCTGGCTCATGCTCAGAATCCATTGCCCTGACTTAACCCCAATACATGTTGCCAGCTGATACAGAGGAAGGACCAAGGGCTGGTAAAGCTCTCAGAAATTCCCAGGGCTTTCACACCCCAGCCATGCCCCTAGGGCCTGTCAGCTTAGCCAGGCCTCTTTTGCACAGGAATGCTAGCCCCTCTCTTTGGGCTCTCTTGACTGGCTGTGCTGTGGCCTTGGACAAGCATCTGTTGGTCTCCTGACCCTGCCCTCTGGCGTATATGCTGTCCCAAAGGACAGTGTGGGCTGTAAATAACAAAAGACTGACCCTCAAATAGCTTAAACAAAAGATTTTTAGAGTTACATTTAATTACTTGTTTGGGGGTGCAGGTCTAGAGAACAGATGCCACAGTGCACCTATAGAAGTCAGTTCCCTCCTTCCACCATGTGAGTTCCCAGGATCAAGCCCCTTTACCTGCTGAGCCCTCTGGATGGCCCTACCCCCAGGAGCAGGTGACCCCCTGGAGGGAGCTCCCATCCTAGGCTTTCCTGAGCTCACATTGTCAAGGTTTCCCCACCCAGAAGTCATCCCTGATTGGATGAAGTAAGAGTATCTCATCAATCCAGGACTGACTAGACAGAGTTTGTGAAGAGGAGGAATTGCAGACCGCACAGATGGGACTACAGGGTCCTGCAGTGGTGGTGACCATGAGCCAGGAGACTGGCAACATAAAACCTTTCTGAACCGCAGTTAAAGGGGCTGACAAATGTTCTTTGCTCACACCAATTTGGGGGGTTTGCCTTTTTTGTATAGGCTTTTTTTTTTTTTTTTTTTTTGTTTTTTCGGGAAAGGGTTTTTTTGTGTTGTTTTGGAACCTATCCTGGCACCCCCCTTGGGGACCAGGGTGGC